CAGGCGGGGTTGCCCGGTCGACCGGGATACCCGGGCGACGTGTGCGAAGGTCGCCGGGGAACGGTTTCGGCGAGGACGACCTCGGGGGTGGTATCCCGAGGTCGACGTGGCTGATGGGCGCCGTCACGGGCGGGAATGTCTGCGCTGGGCACGTGACGGGGAGTGGGACGCCAACTAGCCACGCACACCTGCGAAGCAGGTGCACCGTTGTCCTGCGGGTGCAACGCTGTGCAGCCGACTTGCTGCAGCGTTGGCACACCGTGGACTTGCAACGTTGGCGCGCCGCATCTCTGCAGCGCTGGAGCGGTGCGAGCATTGCTGCGCTGGAACGCGGTCGACCGTGCTACGCTGGAGGTCGACCAGCAGCTGTGCTAGCTCTGATGTAGCCTTGCATGCCAATGTTGTTGCTATCATTCTGAACCTTTGTTGTGATGTTTTCCTAGTGAAACTCTTGCCAATTCTCCTCGTGAACTAGCAAGTAGTGTGCGCACAAGGAAACGACTAAGTGAACGAACGCAGAGATCCCTCTCACATACGTGCCTTCCCCGCAGTAAGGCTCCGGTTGTAGCAGTTATCTCCGCAGGTGCGATAGCACAGCGAGTGTGGGGGGGGCCGAAGGCCCTTGCGAGCTACAACATGTGGGCAGAAGCAGGGGAGGAGTTCAACGCTGCACATGTATGGCGCAAGCGGGGCGTGGCCATGGCGCCCGCGCTCTACCACGTGCCGCTGCTCGCCAAGCCCGCACGCTTGACGGTGTTTGGCAACGGGTCGGTGGTGGTGGAGGCGGGCGGTGTGGAGATGGGGCAGGGGCTCTCCACCAAGCTGCGCCAGGCTCGGCTTCAACTCCCTTTGGAGTGGTACCGCTACCAGCAACAGGACGTTGGCAGGGGCTGTGGCAGCTGGAGCGGCAGCACTGCTGGCAGTGGCGGCTGCAGTAGTAGTGGCAGCAGCGGTGGGGGCAGTGGTGGGGGCAGTGGTGGAGAACGACAGCGTGGCGATGGGCAATGCGGGCATGATGGCTGCCAGCTCCACCTCTGAAGCCTCCTGTGCCGCCAAGGCTAAAGGCGCGCCGGCGGGTGAGGAGGGAGAGCGGGATTATTGAAGGGGAGTCAGGAGTGGGAGAGGGTGATGTGGCGGTGGATGAATCTGACGTGGCGGTTGAGGAGGGCGGCGTGGCAAGCTAGGAGAAGGTGGCAGCGCAGGCCAAGGCCATGGAGCTAACGCTCTCAGCGTTGGCGTACTTCTAGCCCGACCCCTCGCACGCCTCCTACTTCACCTTTGGTGCCGCTGCCACAGAGGTACGTCGCCCGTGTGGCTGCTGATGAGTGAAAAAACGAAGCATGCACCAGATCGTTGCGCCTCTGCAAGCCTTGACAAAGTCTCTTTTCTGCTCACCCTCGCACTGTCTCCTTCTATCTCTCTCCCTGCATGACCAATGGAGTGGCAGGTGGAGGTGGATGTGCTGACGGGGAGTGGCAGTGCAGCATGCTGACATCCACCATGACTGTGCACGCAGCCTCAACCCTGCTGTCGATGTTGGCCAGGTACACGCGAGTGCGCACCATATGCGTGCAATGTTCAATTTCTCCACGCACACCCCTCTATGCTTTCAACGACCGGTCTTTCCCCACACATTGTGTTTCTTGTTGAAGTTTCTTCCCTCTTAACTGCCATCATACTCGTGCCCACCCATCAACTATGTGTATCCGCTCCATTATCTCTCTCACCCTCTCCCTTGCCCGCTTTCTCCTCCCCCCCCCCCCCATGTGCCAAGTGGAGGGGGCATTCGTGCAGGGGCAGGGCTTCTTCGCCACGGAAGAGGTGCTGGTGGACGAAGCTACCGAGAAGCCGCTCTCAGACGGCACGTGGGCGTACAAGGTGCCATCATTAGACACCGTGCCCCGTCAGCTCAATGCCTCCCTGCTGCACAGCTCTGCTAACGAGCGTCACCGCTGATGGAGTGTTAGTCGTTGCTGGTGGTGGGCCCGGTGAGTCTGGAGTAGCTTTTCCTTCAGGAGCCATGATGATGCAAATTTTGTAATGTATTGAGTAATTTTATAAGGAGGTTGTTATGTGAAGAACAAGAACTTGGCAGGTCTTATAATCCACTCTAGCTCTCATACCATGCTGATATAACCTAAGGATCAAGTGGATAGGATAAGCCTGCTAAGTTAAGAGGAGTCAGAAAAGTCTCTTGTTGTGACCCTGTTGAATAGAAGTTGAAAGAGAACAAGATGATTATAAGATAGGAGTACAAGAGATTAAATAGCAGACTAGCTAGCCATGTACTCTAAGGGGTACATTCCCTTATTAACTGTATTACATAGCTATAGTAACCGCGACGATTGCTGTCCTTCGACAGTTACCATGTTGCAGCGAGCAACTGTCGCGCGGTTACTGGATGGTCAAGGGTCACGACCGTTGACTTTCCTGAACGGTTGACCTTCGGGTGACCCTCGACCTTCCGCATGCTCTATATGAGCTATTGCGGTACTGATACAGTGGAATGCCTTCGGGAATGCTTATGATAATCTTTCAGTTATTCCAACAGTACAGATATGTCAGAATTATATTATTGTAACTGCATGTAGATCTAGCAGTAGTGTAGTTATTGCATTCTGTTTGGTGGTTTACCCCTTTTCCTCCTATTTGTACTCCAAACTCTATAGTGAAACCCCTCTTTCCTTGCCTAAACTCTCTCGACACTTTCTCCTCTTCACCCTAGCATGGCTCCTCACCTCTAGCTACTATCTTGACATGGTTTCAGAGCTGGTTCTTTCCTAGAACCTTCATTTTTTTTTTTTCAGAAACATGGGCCCGCCCTTAATGCAGCGCGAAATGCGCTATTTTCTTCGTCCCGTCGCGCCCTGCGCCCGTCTGATTCGTCGCCCCGCGGCCCCCCATTTCGTCGCCCCGCGGCCTCTGATTCGTCGCCCCGCGGCCCCCCATTTCGTCGCCCCGCGGCCCCTGATTCGTCGCCCCGCGGCCCCCCATTTCGTCGCCCCGCGGCCCCCGATTCGTCGCCCCGCGGCCCCCGTTTCGTCGCCCCGCGCCCCCCCCCCCCCCGTTTCGTCGCCCCGCGGCCACCCGTTTCGACGCGCCGGGGCCCCCCGTTTCGTCGCCGCGGACGCCAGCGCCGGCGGGCGCCAGCACCAGCACAAGCACCAGCGACGAGCGCCAGCGCCGGGGCCGGCTCCCAGCGCCAGCAGCCCACGCCAGCGCCGGCAGCGGGTGATTCCGCCCTTCCCACCCGCCCTCCCTTCCGTCGTGGAGGGGGGGGGGGTTGGGGGGGGGGCGGGTGTGAGGAGCCTGCCGCTCCTCCCTCCCTTCCCTCTTCCTCTCTCCCTGCAGCAATTGTTGCTGTGAGGGGGGGGGGGGGGGGGGGGAGAGAGGTTAAGGGGGGATGAGGGAGGGTATGAGAGAGAGTGGCAGAAGCAGCAGCCCTGCATTTGCAACTGCCACCCCCTGCTACTGTGGCACCTCCAGCTGCAGCCCCTGTTGCCACTTAATTCGTCTCTTTCGTTTGCTGCTGTTGAGCGGCAGGTGCTGCCGTTGAGCCTGCTGTGCCGCCGCTCGTTGCCGCCGCACGCCGCTCTCCAGGCGACCTGCGCCACATGCACCTTTCTTTCGTTTCTGTATTGGCTAAGGGGTTTCTGCAGCTGTCTCTGCCACCACTGCACTGGTTGTCATTGCTCTTGCGTGCTACTGCTTTGAGTACACTTGCAGGTTGTGATTTGCACTTTGCTATTCCTGCATGCAGTTAAGGGGGGATGTCAGAATTATATTATTGTAACTGCATGTAGATCTAGCAGTAGTGTAGTTATTGCATTCTGTTTGGTGGTTTACCCCTTTTCCTCCTATTTGTACTCCAAACTCTATAGTGAAACCCCTCTTTCCTTGCCTAAACTCTCTCGACACTTTCTCCTCTTCACCCTAGCATGGCTCCTCACCTCTAGCTACTATCTTGACAAGATACTATATAGTTTATGAGCTTTTGAGCGGGATTTTTACTAAAACCATTTTGCCAAATGCTCATACAGTAGATCACATGGATCTGCATCGATGCTATAAATTCCACATCACAACTATACATTTGATCTTTTGTGGTTATATGAACCCTACTTGTGCATTTTTCATTTCATAGTGTAGCCACCAACCGAACTAATATTTGGAGGCTTTGAAGAGCACAGTGTAGAGGTGTACAGCAAAAACCTCTACAGCAAAAACCTCGCTTCCAGACCTCGAACTCAGGTACGTACGCGAACCTGCCTCTACGTTTCTCATAACAGAACTGTGTCGCTATTTGTTGGGGTCCGAGGCAAGCTGCTCTTGGTAGGACAGCTTCGCCATTCCCAAACCACTGGGGCGTGGGCAGCCCCCGAGTGCGTCGCAAACGCAACGGTCTCATCTAGGGATTTCCGCGTTTGCTTCGGTGTGGTTGGTTGGTACGTGTGCTTTGGGGTTGTCGGGCTCACCCAGCTCCTCCTCCAGCCTCCTCCGTTTGACGTTGTCTTGTCGTCACTTCCCTATCAGTTGCAGTAGTGTTTCATAATGCCCTTCAAAGGCGAGCAGCGCATACTGCTAATTAGGTTGCACCAGGGAGGTGCTGAGGAAAAGTCGGGTTTTGTAAATATTTATTAATTAATTTTAAGGTGTTGGCTCTACGTGAAGGTGACTAACAACTAATTTCCAAAGCCCGTTATCGCGGAATTGGGTGACGTGCATTAACTTAATATCAATGGTTACACAGCAACGTTAGTGTATGCAAAGCGCGAAGCATGCGCGCCTTTAAGGTTTATGCCCTTAAGACTGTTACCAGTTGAAATTTCGCTTTGAGATTAGGCAAGAAACTGTTACTCTCTTCAAGACGTTGAGCAAAAGGACATTAGTGCCTGCCGAACTAATCCGTCATGGATGGCGACGGATCGGCGAAAAGTGGTGACGGCGATGGTCACAAGCCGTACGAAGAAGGCGAGGATGAATACAACGAGGGAGATGACATGTACGGAGACGAGGGTGATTATGGCGAGGAGGAAGGTGGTCCCGAGGGTTCAGGAAAAGGACGGCCGCACCCCCCTGGCGATGGGCTTCACGAGGGGGGCGGGGGCGACGACGAAGATTACGGCGAGGAATACGGCGAAGAGGACGGCGAAGGAGAATACTACGAGGAGGAGGCGGGTGGTGAGGGGCAGAAGGAGGGAGGCGTGAAGGGCGAAGGAGAGGGGGAGTACGAGGGGGAGGAGGGGGAGTGGGACGGTGAAGGCGAGTATTACGACGAGGAAGGTGAATACGTGGAAGGGGGCGGTGAGGGTGGAGGGGAAGGAGCTGGCGAGGGAGAGGAGCACTACGAGGGCGAGGAGGGTTACGGCGAGGGCGAGGAGGGGTACGTCGAGGGCGAGGAGGGGTACGGCGAGGGCGAGGAGGGTTACGGCGAGGGCGAGGAGGAAGGGGAGTGGTACGGGGAAGAAGGCGAGGGGCACGCGGAAGGCGGGGAGCACGCGGAAGGGGAAGAGTATGGTGAAGGGGGGGAATACGGGGAAGAGGGAGAGTGGGATGGAGAGTATGGTGAAGAGGGTTATGGGGAGGAGGGGGAGTACGCGGAAGAAGGGGGAGAGTACCCGGAAGAGGGGGGAGAGTACGCGGAAGAGGGGGGAGAGTATCCGGAGGAAGGGGGAGAATACGCGGAAGAGGGGCGCGAAGAGGAAGGTGGTGGTGATGTTCATGCGGAGGGGGCAGAGGGGGGCGAAGTTGCAGGAGAGCTGCAGGGGGAAGGGGGGGATATGTATGGGGCAGGGGAGGATATGCACGGGGAAGGGGAGGAGATCCACGGGGAAGACGGGGATATGTACGACGACGAGGGTGAAGGGGCGGGGGAGGACGGAGTGGAGGAGCAAGGCGGAGGAGGGGGTTTGGGGAGGGGCAAGAAAGGTAGCGGCAAGGGCAGCGCGGACGGGGCTGAGGGCGGAACAGAGGAGGCTGATGAACGGTTGAGGGAGGACGATATGCACCCGGAGGAAGAGGGGGGTTACCCGGAGAAAGAGGGAGAGTACCCGGAGGAAGAGGGGGAATACCCAGAGGAAGAGGGGGAATACCCGGAGAGGGAATACCCAGAGGAAGAGGGGGAGTACCCGGTGAAAGAGGGTAAATACCCAGAGGAAGAGGGGGAGTACCCAGAGGAAGAGGGGGAATACCCGGAGGAACAGGGGGAATACCCGGAAGAAGAGGGGGAATACCCGGAAGAGGGGGAGTACCCAGAGAAAGAGGGGGAATATCCGGACGAAGAGGGGGAATACCCGGAGGAAGAGGGGGAATACCCGGAAGAAGAGGGGGAGTACCCGGAGAAAGAAGGGGAATATCCGGACGAAGAGGGGGAATACCCGGAGGAAGAGAGGGAGTACCCAGAGGAGGGGGAGCAGGAAAGGGAGGAATCGGGGGTGCACGAAGGGGAGGGGGGGCTGCATGAGGAGGACAAAGAGGGGGAGGCAGAGGGGGAGGCGGAGGAAGGATTGTCGCGTGCAGGTGGCGGCGAGGAGGAGGGCGCGAGGGCAGTGCTGTCGGAGGGGGAGGAGGAGCGCGCTGACGCAGCAGTGGAGCAGGGGCAGAGGGTGGATGCGGATACGGCGAGTAAGGGCGAGGGGGTTGCTAGCAAGGCACGCGGCGAGGAGAGCGATGCAGAAGATGCGGATGATGGGGGAGCTGGCGGGGCGGAGGGGGCGAGCGCGGAGGGAGGGGATGAGCGCGCGGACAAGGGCGGCGAGCAGATGCTTGGAGACGACGATGAGGGCGCTGGGGTGGCGGAGGGGGAGAGGGAGCGGGATGGGGAGGGCGGGGAGGAAGGGGTTGAGGACCGTGACGAGGACGCTGAGGCTGAGGGAAGGGACGTTGCAGGCCGCAGTGCTGGTGAGGGCAGCGATGAGGAGGGTGATGGGCGCAGTGAGGGCTGGGAAGGGTCACGCGGAAGGGGAGGCAGTGAGGACGAAGGGGGCGAGGGGGCGATGGGGAGGCGGAGGGGGAGTGAGGATGGCGGGGATGGGGAGGGAAGGGGCGGGCTTTACAGTGATGATGAGGAAGGGGGGTACGGTGGACAGCGAGGGGAGGGGAGGGGCGATTACAGCGAGGATGAGTACAGCGACGAGGAGGATGGGAGGAGGGCACGGCGGCCCCTATACAGTGACGAGGAGGATGAGCGGGGGCGGCGGAGGGATGGCGGCCGCAGATACAGTGACGATGAGTACAGTGACGATGACAGGGGGTATGGGCGACAACGCGACAGGCGCTCTGGTGATGATGAGGACGAGGACGAGGAGGAAGGCGAGGGGTACAGGCGGAGAGAGCAGTATAGTGATGAGGAGGACGAGGGCGAGAGGAGGAGGAGAGGAGGAGAGCGGTACAGTGACGAGGAGGAGGAGGAAGAGGAGGAGAGGTACAGGAGGCGAGGCGGGAGGTATAGCGAGGACGAGAGGTCGGAGGGTGCAGACGAGGAGGCCGCGGAAGGAACAGGAGGAAATGAAGAGGGAGAAAGAGCGGATGGGGAGGGCGCAGAAAGGGATGGAAAGGGAGGTGCGGGTGCGGTGGATGGTAAGGGCGCTGGGGAGGGCGGCAATGAAGAAGGCATTTCGGGTGACGCAGAGGGTGGTGAGATGATGGCGCAGGAAGAGGCGCGCGGTGAGGAGCAGGCGGGAGTGCAAGGCAAGGGCACACGCCCCCAGGAGCAGCGTGAGGGGGAGCTGGACACGGGGGAGGATGCAGGGGAGGAGGAGGGCACGGATGTGCACCAGGAAGAGGGGGAGAGGGAAGGGGCGGAGAGTGCCGGGGAGAAGAAAGGTCCGGGGAATGACGTGAGTGGCGAGGAGGAAGAAGGGATGGACGAAGAAGGGGCTTCTGATGCTGATGGCGGCGTGGTCATGCGAGAGGATCGACCAGGGGAAGAGGAAAGGGACCTGTTCAGTGATGGTGAGGAGAGAGATGCACACAGCGAGGAGGAGAGGGATATGTATGGCGATGGGGAGAGGGATGTGTATGGTGAGGGCGAAGGGGAGATGCAAAGTGAGGAGGAGAGGGATATGTACGGTGAGGAGGATAGGGATGCACACAGTGAAGAGGAGAGGGATATGTATGGCGAAGAGGAAGGGGAAGCGCAAATGGAGGAGGAGGGGGATATTTATAGTGAGGGCGAAGCGGAGATGCAAAGGGATCAGGAGAAGGATACGTATGGCGAGGAGGAGAGAGATATGTATGGTGAAGAACCTGAAGGTGTTGAGAGGAGTGAGGATGGGTTTGAGGGAGGCGAGAGAGAGGAGGCAGAGGGGGAGGAGGGAGAGGGAGAGGGAGAGGAAGGCGGATTTGGGAGGGAAGGGGCGGACAAGGAAGGGGCTGACAGGGGAGGAAGTGATTATAACGAGAGTCCACGAGCTGATGGAGGAGGTAGGACGGTGAGGGATGGGGGGGACGAGGAGGAGCAAGATGAGGAAGGGGAGCAAGGGGAGGGGCGTGAGGAGGGGTTTGAGAGAGACGAGGAGGAGGGCGAGGCAGACGAGGGGAGTGAGAGGGGAGCAGGAGCTGATGTTGAAGGGATGGATAAGGAAGGGGATGATTATAGAGAGAGAGGGGAAGAGCTCTATGACGAGGACGAGGAGGATGGGCCGAGTGGAGGCATGGATGGCAGGCGAGGGGGGATGAGGGAGGAGGAGGACGAGGAGGAGGGGGAGGGGCTGTACGGTGACGAGGATGAGGATGAGGATGAGCGCTCTCCTCGTGAGTTTGGCGGGAGCGAGGGGCTGGTGGGCGAGGAGGGCGCGCAGAGGGATGGCGACCTGGGGGAGCAGGAGGAGCTGTACGGAGAGCAGCATGAGGAAGGGGAGGGAGGGGTGGAGGGAGAGGAGGGGGTGGAGGGGGAGGAGGGGTTGGAGGAGGCCGGAGAGAGAGATGATGTGTCTGAGGAGGAAGGGTTGACACCGCGGGTGTTGAGGGGCAGTGAGCAAATGAGCGTGGGGGAGGAGGATGGAGAGGAGGAGGGAGAAAAGGGAAGAGCGAGTGAGAACGAGGAAGAAGAAGGCGCAGATGAAAGGGAGGAGGTGTTGCGCACGCCTGATGTGCTGTCAGAAGAGGAGGGGGATGGCGAGGCGCCCAGGCACGCACGGCGGCGCGGAGAGGGCAGCGAGGACGAAGAGGAGGAGGAGGAGCGGAGGAAGGGGAGTGAATGGGACAGCGAGGAGGAGAGGGAGAGGTCTGTGGTGGGGAGTGAGGAAGGGGAAACTCCCAGGGCGATGGGGGGAAGGAGAGGGAGAGGGAGGCGCAGAGAAGGAGAGGAGGATGAGAGCGACGGAAGTGAGTATGGCAGGGGGCCGCGGGGAGAGGGGTACAGCGATGACGAGAGGTACAGCGCGCGTGGTAGTGAGAGGGGCAGTGAGAGGGGCAGGGGAGACTATAGTGACGAGGAGAGGTACAGGGGCCGGTATGGTGAGGACGAGGAGTTGAGTGATGAGGGCAGTGAGTACAGGCGTGGCCAGGCGGGAGGCAGGGATGGGTATGGTCGCAGGGCAAGAGGGCTGCATGGGGAGGAGGGGAGGAGTGAGGAGGGGTCGGAGGTGGCAAGTGATGTGGATGGGGAGGAGGTGGTTGGCAGACGTAGCGAGAGTGGTGGAAAGGGTGCGGGGCGTGGGGTGGGTGGAGAGGAGGAGGCGGACGGTGAGGAGGAGAGGGAGGAGGAAGCAGATGAAGGAGGGGTTGATGGGAAGGAGAAGGCCGCGAAGGAAGATAATGAGGGTGGGGACGAGAATCAGGAGGCGGAGGGGGAGGAGGAGGAGGAGGAGGACCGGGTGGGTGGAGGGAAGGTAGAGGGGAAGAGACGTGTGCGGTTCACAAAGGAGGAGGAGCATGAGGTGTGGGAGATAGAGCGCGCGAGTGACAGGGATGGGGAAGAGGAGGAGGAGGAGGGTATTGATGATGATGATGCGGGCAGGGGAGAGGACACGAGGCAGAGGAGGGCGGAAGGGAGTGTGGAGGGGGAGAGTGAGGGCGAGGGGAGTGTGGATGGGAAGCGGAGGGAGAGGCGGATAGTGTGGCGAGACGAGGTGGGCAATGAGCTGGAAGAGATGCAGCGAGACGAGGCGGATGAGGGCGAGGGCGACGAGGGGCCGCGGGAGGAGCATGAGTGGGGGAGCGACGAGGAGGATGAGGATGGCAGGGTGAGGGAGGCGCAGCGCAAGGTGGGTCCGCATGGGGCAGAGGAGGAGGTGGAGGGCGAGGAGGCGGGGAGTGGCGGGGAGAAGAAGTGGCGAGAGGAGGAGTTTGGGAGAGGCAGAGACGGTGAGGAGGACGAAGAGGATGAATATGAGGAGGGCGTGGAGTCAGGGGTTCGATTCGGCAGGGGGGAAGACCTATTCCCTGTTGGGGGGCATGGGGAGGACGAGGAGGAGGAGGAGGAGGAGGAGGGGGAGGAGACGCGGAGAGGGGAGGAGGAAGATGAGGATGAGATGCCTTACACTCCCCAGACACCTGAGTTCATGGGACGTGAGCAGATGCGCGGGGTAGGGTTTGCACGGCGAAGAGGGGGTGATGGTGGTGGGGACGAGGAGGATGAGGAGGGATCAGAGAGAGACGACGGGTCGGACATGCACGAGAGGGACAGTCGTGGGGAGGGGGAGGAAGGCGAGGAGGAGGGCAGTGTGGAGGGGAGTGTGCAAGGGTCGCGGGTTATGAGGCGCGGGGTTGGGCTGCTTGGCAGCGCCACCAGCATGGGAGAGAGCTCAGAAGGCGGCGACCTGTTCCCTGTGTATGATGATGACGAGGAGGGGGAGGAGGGGGAGGATGGGCATGGGGAGGGAGGGAGGAGGCGAGGCGAGGAGAAGCTGAGTATAGAGGACGGGGATGAGTGGGACAGTGGCGAGGAGGGCGCAAGCGACCATGGTGGCAGGCGGGGTGGAAAGGGAGCATGGCGGGGGGAAGAGATGGGGGGGGAGGACGAGGGTGGGGAGGACGAGGAGGAAGGGGAAAGGGAGGGCAGGGAGGTGGAGACGGGTCGAAGCAGAGGAGCGAGTGTGGGAGCGGGCGGTGCGTTCCCCAGGTCGGCATCGCAGAGCCTCCAGCGCAGCAGCAAGTACATGCGCGATGTGATGCACGAGATGCAGGCTGAAGAGGACGAGGCGGAGGGGCAAGGCGGGGAGCGAGAGGGAGAGGAGATGGGGGAAGAGGATGAAGAGGAGGGAGAGGAGGGAGAGGAGGGGGACGAGGAGATGGAGGCGAGAGCAGGGGGGTTGAGCGGCAGGGCGGGGGGTGGGGGGGCGCGGTCGCTGCTGCCCAAGTCGGCGTCGCAGTCGAGCAGCCTGCAGCGCAGCGGCAAGTTTGAGCTTGACTTCCTGCACGACCTTGAGGGCGAGGCTGGCGGCTTCGCACGCTCCGATGATGATGAGGGGGAGGGGGAGGGGGAGGGGGAGGGGGAGGGGGAGGAGGAGTGGGATGAGGAGAGGGAGAGGGGAAGGGAGGAGGATGAGGAGGGGGTTGAGAATGGCAGCATGGGAGGGGGCAGTGGAGAGGAGGCAGAGGAGGAGTATGAGGAAGGCGAGAGGGCAGGTGTTGATGTGGGGTTGCGAGGAAGGGGTGAGGCGAGGCGGGGCGAGGAAAGTGACAGTCGTGCGTCTGCGCGGTCCCTCTTCCCCAAGTCGGCCTCTCAGAGCCTGCAGCGCAGCAGCAAGTATGTCAGCGACCTGCTCAGCGACCTCGACCTGTACGCTGATGCCCCAGCGCAGGCTGTGGGCGCGGGCGCGGGTGACGGGGGGCAGGGAGGGAAGGGGAAGACGAGGGGCAGGGAGGCAAAAGGAGGTCTGCAGCGCAGCAGCAAGTACCTGACTGGGGGGATGCTAGAGATGGGGGAGGAGGGCGAGGAAGGGGAGGATGAGGTGGGTGAAGAGGAGAGGGGGGGCGAGTGGGGCAGGGGCAGGGGCGAGGATGGTGGGCGGCAGGCGGCGATGGCCCGCTTCCCCAAGTCGCAATCGCAGAGCCTGCAGCGCAGCAGCAAGTACATGAGCGACCTCATGGGCGAGCTGGGCTCGCAGAGAGGTGCGGGCAGTAAGAGCCGTGATGATGGCTCCGGCGGTGGTGGGCTGAGGAGCCGGGCGTCTGGCGGGCTGGAGCGCAGCAGCAAGTACGTGAAAGACCTCATGGCGGAGCTACGGGAGGAGGAGGAGCGAGGAGAGGGGCATGAGGAGGGCGAGGAGGAGGAGGATGCGGAGGGTGGTGGTGGATTTGGCAATGGCAGTGCGAGAGGCAGCAGTGTGGGAGGAGGGGCAGGGGGGCTGCACAGAAGCACCAAGTATGTGAAGGATCTGCTGTCTGACCTGGATCTGTATGATGATGACGTGGCTGCCCAGGCTGCTGCCGACGCTGCTGCAGCGCTTGCTGTTGCGAGGGGCGGGCGTGCTGGTGGGTCTGGTGAGGCGGAGGATTATTTGTCGGAGGGAGAAGGGGATGGGCACGAGCAGGAGGGGTATGGGGAGCATGAGAGGGAGTACGAGGAGGAGGAGGAATACAGAGAGGAAGGGGAGGAGGAGTATAGGGAGGACATGGAGGGGGCCGAGGAAGCTGAAGAGAGAGCGAGGTGGGAAGAAGAGCAGCAGCAGCAGCAACAACAACAGCAGCAGCAGTCATCACGGCTGGCGCGCAGCAGCAAGTACATGTCGGACCTGATGGACGAGCTGCGGGACGAGGAGGACGAGCGCGAGCACGAGGAGATGCAGGCGCGCGCCAGCGCCATGCAGGGGGACCTGCAGCGCAGGCCCAGCGGCATGCAGAGGGCTTTGCGCGGCGGGCTGAGGCGGAGTGGTAACCACGTGGGTGACGTGCTGGCTGCCATGGGGCTAGAGGAGGTGGGCGCCGTGGGGGGTGGGGGGGAGGAGGAGGAGGAGGAGGAGGAGGGGGAACGGATGTGGGATGAGGAAAGGGAAGAGTGGAGGGACGGGGAAGGAGAGGGGGGTGAGGAGGAAGGGGAGAGGGAGGAGTGGGAGGACGAGGTGGGGTATGGGAGGAGGGAGGATGGGAGGGGGTCGGAGGACGGAGAGGCGCTGATGAGAAGCCCTCGTGGTGACTGGGAGGGGGAGGAGGGGGATGAGGGGGATGAGGGGGATGAGGAGAGGAGGTTTGGTGATGGTGAGGAAGGGGAGGAGGGAGAGGAGTGGGAGGAGGGAGCAGGGTCACAGCAGGGTCGTGAGGAGGAGGAAGAGGAGGGAGAGGAGGAAGGGGGCAGGAGGCGGCGAACGGAAATACAGTGGAAGGATGAAACAGAGCGGAAGGGAGAGGGGGAGGAGGGAGGAGAGGAGTGGCATGACGAGGGGGGTGAGGAGGGAGAGTGGGATGGGGGGGAGGGTGAGGAAGGGGGGTATGGGCATGGGGACGAGGAGGGGGTGGACTTGTTCCCTCAAGGCGCGCATGGGGGCATGGGAGATGAAGAGGAGATGCACGATGTGGTGCATGGGGGCATGCAGGGAGAGGAGTGGGGCGAGGGAGGGGAGGAGGGCGAGTACGGGCAGGGCGAGCATGGCGAGATGGCGGAGGCGGATGGGGAGCAGGGCGAGTGGGAGGGGCAGGGCACGAGGGGCAAGGGGCGAGGGCACAGAGGAGGGGACTCGGGAGGGAGCTTCGACTTTGGGATGGGCTTGCAGGGAGTCGCGCAGGGCGAGGAGGGCGAGGAGGAAGAGGATGAAGAAGGTGGATCGGAATTTGCGGCGAGAGGGGAGGGGGAGTATGGGGAGGGGCTGGAAGGGCATGGCATGGCAGGCGAGGGGTTGGATGATGGGGAGGGGGAGTATGGGGATGGGCATGAGTACGCAGGACATGGGGAGGAGGGGTTCGAGGAGGGAGACGAGTACGATGAGGAGAGGGAGGGGCTTGGTGGGGAGGGCGAGGAGGGGTATGAGGAGGGGAGGGAGGGTTATGAGGAGGGAGAGGAGGGGTATGAGGAGGAGGGTTTTGAAATGGGGCAGGAGAGGTATGATGAGGGGGGTGAGGGGTACGAGGAAGGGGAGCACATGCAGGGTGAGGGGCAGGAAGCGTTTGAGCATGGGGAGGGGGGTGATGAGCATGACAGAGGTGGTGGTGCTTACAGGGGGGGAGGAGGGGAGTATGGGGAGGAAGAGGATGGGGAGTACGAAGGCGAGAGGCATGGGATGCAGCATGGGGATGAGGAGTATGGGGGTATGGAGGGTGGCGAGGGGGATGAGTACGAGGGTCACCCAGAGGACGAGTATGGGGCGCATGACGAGCATGCGTATGGGCAGGAGGGCGAGGAGGACTATGATGAGTACCATGAGGGGCATGAACATGGGCATGGGGAGGAGCATGATCATGAGGAGGAGCATGGATACGAGGAGGATGGTGCGGGCGAGGGGTACAGGCATGGGGAGGCAGAGGAGGAGGGGGAGGAAGGAGAGGGGCATGGCATGGAGGGCGACTCAGACGAGGGCCAGGCAGCGCCGTACGACCAGGAGGACCACGCCTTCTACCGCGCACAGGACGAGCGCGAGGGGCACGATGGTCACGACGACCACCAGGGGGGCGGCAACGACTGGCTGCTTCCGCCTGGCGCCGGGCGGCGGGGCTCGTCTGAGCTGTACCGCGGGCGCAGCCTGGGGCGTATTGACGAGCAGGTGGCGTCGGGGGCGGGCAAGCAGCGGTCCGACCTGCACCGCGGGGGCAGCCTCAACCAGCGCGACGGGTCGTGGCATGCACAGGGCGGGCATGGGTCGCAGGGCGGGCTGCGGCGCGGGCTGCGGCGCGGCGGCAGCTTGAACCAGCCGGACGGCGAGTGGGCCCCCGCGGGGCAGCCGCCCGCGCACCGCGCGTCCTCCCTGCGGCGGGGGAGCAGCCTCAAGTGGGCGGACGAGGAGGAAGCAAAGGGGAGAGGAGGGGGGGAGAGTGGGAAGGGGAGGGATCTGGTGCGGGGGCGGAGTCTGGGGAGGACGGACGGGGAGTGGATGGACCGGCGGGTGAACCGGCAGCTGGACGAGCTGATCGACAAGGAGGGCGTGCGCATCCACAAGGGCGTGCCCTCCCGCTCCCACTCCCTGGGGCCGGGCGTGTGGACCAGCCATGACGAGGAGGAGGAGGAGGGGCAGGGCGACGGCAGTGGCGGCAGGGGCATGCGTGGGCGTGGCAGTGGTGGCGGCGGCACAGCGGATCAGTATGGCGATCTTGGGCCATTCAAGCCGCGCCCGCCGTCGCGATCGCGGTCGTCCATTCCTGCGGATCAGGTGGCATCGACGGGCCTGAGGGCATCGCGGTCCAAGTCGCTGGGCAAGAACGTGACGTGGGCGCTGGATGAGCGGCACAGCGATGGGGACAGGGACGAGGGCCGTGGCAGGTGGGCGGAGGACGGGGGCAAGTGGGGCGGGGGGCGCATTCAGGAGGAAGAGGAGGATGGCGAGGAGGAGGGTGAGGAGAGGCGAGAGCAGGAGGATGATGGGTATGGCGGGCGGGAGAGGGACGAGGAGGAGTACTTGGAAACTTTGCAGGAGGAGGAAGGGGAGGGCGAGGAGGAGGGAGAGGAGGAAGACGATGAGGAGGAGCAGGAGCGGCTGGCAAGCATCAAGTTCCAGGCGTCGCGGTCGCAGTCGCTGGGCAAGGTGGAGGCGCACTCTATGGCGCTGGGCCACATGGCGTGGCGGGGAGGGGAGGGGTACGAGGATGAGGAGATGGAGGGCGGGGACGGGGGCGAGGAGGGAGGGGGAGCGGGGTGGAGGCGCGGCGGGGCGAGGGGCAAGTCAAAGCCGTCGCGGTCGCAGAGTGTGACGGCGACGGAGCTGCTGCGCGCACAGGTGGGCGCGGGTGGCGTGGGCAAGTCGGACCTGCTGCGCACCGACTCCGTGTTCGCCAAGCTGGACCACCTCGTGCAGCGGCGAGGGGCGCAGGGGCGTGCGGAGGGGGATGATGGGGGCGATGGGGGCGCTGATGGTGAGGAGGGGGTGGAGATGGATGGGGAGTATGGCGAGGGGGAGGACGGGATGTATGAGCATGAGAGGCAGGACGGGGAGTGGGATGGGCAAGGGGAGGGGCGGATGGAGGGTGAGGAGGAGTATGAGGAAGGGCAGCAGGAGGATGGGTATGAGAATGGGGAGGAGAGGTATGGCAAGGGCGAGGGGTATGGGGAGGAGGGTGAGAGGTATGGGGAGGAGGGAGAGAGGTATGGGGAGGAGGGAGAGAGGTATGGGGAGGAGGGAGAGAGGTATGAGGAGGATGGTGAGAGGTACGGGGAAGAGGGAGAGGGATATGGTGAGGAGGGAGAGAGGTATGGGGAGGAGGGAGACGGATATGGTGAGGAGGGAGAGAGGTATGGGGAGGAGGGAGAGGGATATGGGGAGGAGGGAGAGAGGTATGGGGAGGAGGGAGACGGATATGGTGAGGAGGGAGAGAGGTATGGGGAGGAGGGAGAGGGATATGGTGAGGAAGAAAGGTTTGACGGAGAGGGTGAGTATGGTGAGGAGGAGGGGAGATATGAGGAGGGGGAGGGGGGGGTGGAGAGGGGGAGGATGAGGAGGACGACCGCGAGCGACAGATGGAGAGGGAGAGAGAGCTGGCGCTGGAGATGGCAGCTGAGATGGATGAACGGCTGGAGATGCACATGGACGAGGAGCACGAGGGGATCAACGGCCTGGATGGGTTTGATGACGAGCTGGACGGGGAGGGCAGCTTGGAGTTTGAGGGGCAGGATGGGGCGGGCTCGCAGCAGCATGAGCACGAGCACGAGCATGGGTATGAACATGACGGGCATGAGGGGGAGGAGGGCCATGGGGGCGACGAGCATGGGGACGGGTACGGGGATGGGCATGAGGGCGAGTATGGGGACGAGCATGGAGACGAGCACGATCACGTTCTGGCAGGTGGGGAGGGCGAGGGCGAGGGGGAGGAGGACGCAGGGGTGCTGGACGAGGTGAGTGAGGAGGTGCTGCACGCGTGGCGCCTGCCGTCCATCGGCCCGCGCGCCCCCCGCGGGTTCAACCTGGACGCCATGCACATGCCGCCCTCGCCCGCCGCCAACAGCCCCATGGGTAGCCCCCTGGGCAGCCCGTTCGGGCAGGGCGCGCTGGGCAGCCCCCTGGGCGGGTTTGGGTCCGTGGCGGGGGGCGATGAGGGCGGCAGGGGCGAGGGGCATGCGGACATGGCGCACGGGGGCGAGCTGGAGCAGGTGCAGGAGGGCGAGGGCGAGGGCGAGGGGTATGGGGAGGAAGGGCATGAGGAGGGGGGTTATGGGGAGGAGGGGCATGAGGAGGAGGGCCATGGGGAGGAGGGGTATGGTGAGGGCGAAGGGTATTATGAGGAGGGGGGTGAAGAGGCTGGGGGGGATTATGGTGAAGGGCAGCAGTACCATGATGGGGAGGGGGGGTACCAAGGCGAAAAAGGGCAGTACGAGGAGGGGCAGGGAGGATATGCAGAAGAGGGGCAGCAGTATGGGGAGCATCAGGAAGGTGAATATGGGGAAGGTGAGTATAACGAGGGTGAGGGGGAGTTTGATAAGGAGCAGGAGTACCACGAAGGGGAGCAGTATGCAGCAGAGGGGCAGGGGCAGGCCGACGGTGAGCAAGGAGCGGGTGCTGATGGGGAGTATGGCGAGCAGTATGATGGGGAGCACTATAACGAGGATGATGGAGGGGAGGGTGGGTTCGGAGGATTTCAAGTGGGCGAGGAGGAGGGCGGCGAGGGATGGGAGGGCGAGGAGGGCGGGCAGGGAGAGGGGTATGGGGAAGGGGAGTATGGCGGTGAGGGTGGGTATGATGGGCATGCGCAAGGGGATCAGGTGGAGGGAGGGGAGTTTGGGGGTTTTCAAGGGCAAGGCGAAGAGGAGAGCGGTTTTCAGGAGGGGCAGTATGGGGAAGGGGAGGGGCAGTATGGGGAAGGGGAAGGGCAGTATGGGGAGGGGGAGGGGCAGTATGGGGAGGGGGAGGGGCAGTATGGGGAGGGGGAGGGGCAGTATGGGGAGGGGGAGGGGCAGTATGGGGGGGGGAGGGGCAGTATGGGGAGGGGGAGGGGCAGTATGGGCAGGGGGAGGGGCAGTATGTGGAAGTGCAGGGGCACTATGGGGAAGGGCAGGGGCAGTATGGGGAAGGGGAGGGAGAATATGGGGAGGGAGAAGGGCAATACGAACAGCACTTTGGGCAGGGAGAGGGGCAATTTGGGCAGGGAGAGGGGCAGTATGGCGAAGGTGATTATGGGGAGGAGGGTGACTGGGGAGCAGGTGAGTACCACGAGGGTGAGGGGGGGTATGACGACAGCCATGGTGGGTATGGGGCAGGTCAACACCAGTCCAGTGAGGGGCACGGGGAGTATGTGGAGGGGCAGTTTGAAGGGCAAGGGCACTACGGGGAGGAAGGGCAGTACGAGCAGGGCGATTATGAAGAGGGCGAGTACAGAGAAGGAGAGTATGTGGAGCAGGGAGAGTATGCAGATGAAGAGGGGCATGAGGGCGGGGTGAATAGCAACCAAGGCTTCTCGAAAGAGCAGCAGCAGCAACAGGGTTGGCAGGGAGCAGGAGGCGAGGGCAGTGGGGCAGGGGGCATGGGCGCAGGGGGGGAGCACCTGGACAGCACTTTCGAATTCATGCAGGGCGCGCTGGGGGCGCAGGGGGGAGACGAGGGGGTGGCGGAGGGCCAAGGCGGGGAGGAGGACATGGGGCAGGACGAGGGAGAGTATGACGAGGAGGAAGAGGAAGATGAGGGAGAGGAGGGTGAGGACGTCGAAGGTGAAGAGGAAGAGGAAGAGGGGGATGATGAGGAAGGAGAGGAGGAAGGAGAGGAGGAAGGAGAGGAGGAAGGAGAGGAGGGAGAAGAAAGTGGCGGATTCGCATTCAATGTTGCAGGTGAAGGTGGGGCGGAGGAAGAGGATTATGAGATGAACGGAGATGAAGGGGAGGAAGAGGAAGAGGAGGAAGAGGAGGAGGAAGAGGAGGAGGAGGAAGAAGAGGAAGAGGAGGAGGGGGGAGCAGAGGAAGGGAGTGAAGTGGAGGATGTTGATGAGGAGAGTGAGGGAGAGGAGGATGAAGAGGATGAGGAGATGGAGGAGGACGAGTTGGATGATGAGGAGGAAGAGGAAGAGGATGGGGACGAGGATGAGGAGGAGGAAGATGAAGATGAAGACGAGGAGGAGGAGGGGGGCGGTGATAGACATATTTGGGACGGGCATGGCGGAGGGCGGGTCGCAGGGAGTGGTGGCGGCACTGGGCGGGTCCAAGGGGCTGGCCCTGCTGCTGCAGCAGCAGCTTGCTGCCGCACGCGCCAAGGCCATGGGGGGGGCCGACGGTGGCAAGGTGGCAGGCAGTGAGGAGGAGAGTGAGCTCTCCACGCCCTACGACACCGATGCAGGTGAGCTCTCCACGCCCTACGACACCGATGCAGGTGAGCTCTCCACGCCCTACGACACCGATGCAGGTGAGCTCTCCACGCCCTACGACACCGATGCAGGTGAGCTCTCCACGCCCTACGACACCGATGCAGGTGAGCTCTCCACGCCCTACGACACCGATGCAGGTGAGCTCTCCACGCCCTACGACACCGATGCAGGTGAGCTCTCCACGCCCTACGACACCGATGCAGGTGAGCTCTCCACGCCCTACGACACCGATGCAGGTGAGCTCTCCACGCCCTACGACACCGATGCAGGTGAGCTCTCCACGCCCTACGACACCGATGCAGGTGAGCTCTCCACGCCCTACGACACCGATGCAGGTGAGCTCTCCACGCCCTACGACACCGATGCAGGTGAGCTCTCCACGCCCTACGACACCGATGCAGGTGAGCTCTCCACGCCCTACGACACCGATGCAGGTGAGCTCTCCACGCCCTACGACACCGATGCAGGTGAGCTCTCCACGCCCTACGACACCGATGCAGGTGAGCTCTCCACGCCCTACGACACCGATGCAGGTGAGCTCTCCACGCCCTACGACACCGATGCAGGTGAGCTCTCCACGCCCTACGACACCGATGCAGGTGAGCTCTCCACGCCCTACGACACCGATGCAGGTGAGCTCTCCACGCCCTACGACACCGATGCAGGTGAGCTCTCCACGCCCTACGACACCGATGCAGGTGAGCTCTCCACGCCCTACGACACCGATGCAGGTGAGCTCTCCACGCCCTACGACACCGATGCAGGTGAGCTCTCCACGCCCTACGACACCGATGCAGGTGAGCTCTCCACGCCCTACGACACCGATGCAGGTGAGCTCTCCACGCCCTACGACACCGATGCAGGTGAGCTCTCCACGCCCTACGACACCGATGCAGGTGAGCTCTCCACGCCCTACGACACCGATGCAGGTGAGCTCTCCACGCCCTACGACACCGACGCAGGTGAGCTCTCCACGCCCTACGACACCGATGCAGGTGAGCTCTCCACGCCCTACGACACCGATGCAGGTGAGCTCTCCACGCCCTACGACACCGATGCAGGTGAGCTCTCCACGCCCTACGACACCGATGCAGGTGAGCTCTCCACGCCCTACGACACCGATGCAGGTGAGCTCTCCACGCCCTACGACACCGATGCAGGTGAGCTCTCCACGCCCTACGACACCGATGCAGGTGAGCTCTCCACGCCCTACGACACCGATGCAGGTGAGCTCTCCATGCCCTACGACACCGATGCAGGTGAGCTCTCCACGCCCTACGACACCGATGCAGGTGAGCTCTCCACGCCCTACGACACCGATGCAGGTGAGCTCTCCACGCCCTACGACACCGATGCAGGTGAGCTCTCCACGCCCTACGACACCGATGCAGGTGAGCTCTCCACGCCCTACGACACCGATGCAGGTGAGCTCTCCACGCCCTACGACACCGATGCAGGTGAGCTCTCCACGCCCTACGACACCGATGCAGGTGAGCTCTCCACGCCCTACGACACCGATGCAGGTGAGCTCTCCACGCCCTACGACACCGATGCAGGTGAGCTCTCCACGCCCTACGACACCGATGCAGGTGAGCTCTCCACGCCCTACGACACCGATGCAGGTGAGCTCTCCACGCCCTACGACACCGATGCAGGTGAGCTCTCCACGCCCTACGACACCGATGCAGGTGAGCTCTCCACGCCCTACGACACCGATGCAGGTGAGCTCTCCACGCCCTACGACACCGATGCAGGTGAGCTCTCCACGCCCTACGACACCGATGCAGGTGAGCTCTCCACGCCCTACGACACCGATGCAGGTGAGCTCTCCACGCCCTACGACACCGATGCAGGTGAGCTCTCCACGCCCTACGACACCGATGCAGGTGAGCTCTCCACGCCCTACGACACCGATGCAGGTGAGCTCTCCACGCCCTACGACACCGATGCAGGTGAGCTCTCCACGCCCTACGACACCGACGCAGGTGAGCTCTCCACGCCCTACGACACCGATGCAGGTGAGCTCTCCACGCCCTACGACACCGATGCAGGTGAGCTCTCCACGCCCTACGACACCGATGCAGGTGAGCTCTCCACGCCCTACGACACCGATGCAGGTGAGCTCTCCACGCCCTACGACACCGATGCAGGTGAGCTCTCCACGCCCTACGACACCGATGCAGGTGAGCTCTCCACGCCCTACGACACCGATGCAGGTGAGCTCTCCACGCCCTACGACACCGATGCAGGTGAGCTCTCCACGCCCTACGACACCGATGCAGGTGAGCTCTCCACGCCCTACGACACCGATGCAGGTGAGCTCTCCACGCCCTACGACACCGATGCAGGTGAGCTCTCCACGCCCTACGACACCGATGCAGGTGAGCTCTCCACGCCCTACGACACCGATGCAGGTGAGCTCTCCACGCCCTACGACACCGATGCAGGTGAGCTCTCCACGCCCTACGACACCGATGCAGGTGAGCTCTCCACGCCCTACGACACCGATGCAGGTGAGCTCTCCACGCCCTACGACACCGATGCAGGTGAGCTCTCCACGCCCTACGACACCGATGCAGGTGAGCTCTCCACGCCCTACGACACCGATGCAGGTGAGCTCTCCACGCCCTACGACACCGATGCAGGTGAGCTCTCCACGCCCTACGACACCGATGCAGGTGAGCTCTCCACGCCCTACGACACCGATGCAGGTGAGCTCTCCACGCCCTACGACACCGATGCAGGTGAGCTCTCCACGCCCTACGACACCGATGCAGGTGAGCTCTCCACGCCCTACGACACCGACGCAGGTGAGCTCTCCACGCCCTACGACACCGATGCAGGTGAGCTCTCCACGCCCTACGACACCGATGCAGGTGAGCTCTCCACGCCCTACGACACCGATGCAGGTGAGCTCTCCACGCCCTACGACACCGATGCAGGTGAGCTCTCCACGCCCTACGACACCGATGCAGGTGAGCTCTCCACGCCCTACGACACCGATGCAGGTGAGCTCTCCACGCCCTACGACACCGATGCAGGTGAGCTCTCCACGCCCTACGACACCGATGCAGGTGAGCTCTCCACGCCCTACGACACCGATGCAGGTGAGCTCTCCACGCCCTACGACACCGATGCAGGTGAGCTCTCCACGCCCTACGACACCGATGCAGGTGAGCTCTCCACGCCCTACGACACCGATGCAGGTGAGCTCTCCACGCCCTACGACACCGATGCAGGTGAGCTCTCCACGCCCTACGACACCGATGCAGGTGAGCTCTCCACGCCCTACGACACCGATGCAGGTGAGCTCTCCACGCCCTACGACACCGATGCAGGTGAGCTCTCCACGCCCTACGACACCGATGCAGGTGAGCTCTCCACGCCCTACGACACCGATGCAGGTGAGCTCTCCACGCCCTACGACACCGATGCAGGTGAGCTCTCCACGCCCTACGACACCGATGCAGGTGAGCTCTCCACGCCCTACGACACCGATGCAGGTGAGCTCTCCACGCCCTACGACACCGATGCAGGTGAGCTCTCCACGCCCTACGACACCGATGCAGGTGAGCTCTCCACGCCCTACGACACCGATGCAGGTGAGCTCTCCACGCCCTACGACACCGATGCAGGTGAGCTCTCCACGCCCTACGACACCGATGCAGGTGAGCTCTCCACGCCCTACGACACCGATGCAGGTGAGCTCTCCACGCCCTACGACACCGATGCAGGTGAGCTCTCCACGCCCTACGACACCGATGCAGGTGAGCTCTCCACGCCCTACGACACCGATGCAGGTGAGCTCTCCACGCCCTACGACACCGATGCAGGTGAGCTCTCCACGCCCTACGACACCGATGCAGGTGAGCTCTCCACGCCCTACGACACCGATGCAGGTGAGCTCTCCACGCCCTACGACACCGATGCAGGTGAGCTCTCCACGCCCTACGACACCGATGCAGGTGAGCTCTCCACGCCCTACGACACCGATGGAGGTGGGCGTGCCCCATCAACCTCACCCTCACGCGCACCACCATCGTGCATACATGCTGCCCAACAGTGCTAACTTCCCAGCTTGTCTTTTTTATCCACGCTCCATCTCCCCTCTCCTCTCAACCCCTTGTTTTCTCCTCTGTGCCTCACCACACCTCTGAATACCCCCCTACCGTCCATACTGTCCCCTCTGACCCCACCAGACCTCGATACAAGTGACTCAAACACATCAGGCAACCGCCGCGCCGCCATGCTCCACCACGCAGATCCGTCCGCCACCGCCGCTGCAGCAGTAGCGGGCATGGGTGCATTCCCTGCGTTTGGTGCGGGGCTCACAGCCGCCAGTGCAGCACGCAGCAGCCGCTCGGCCGTGGGCACGGGTGCTGGTCGCGCTGCTGCAGGCACGTCGCGGCGAGCGGCAGCGGCGGCACGGCAGCAGCGGGGGGCGGCAGCGAGTGGGGCGCGGCTGACAGCGCAGTGCCTGCTGGGCGTGCTGTCGTTCCTCGACTCGCCTCACGACTGGATCAGCTTCTCCTGTGTCTGCCACGCCTGGCGCCAGGTGGCACATCAGGTGAGCCCAGCCAGGTGGCACATCAGGTGAGCCCAGCCAGGTGGCACATCAGGTGAGCCCAGCCAGGTGGCACATCAGGTGAGCCCAGCCAGGTGGCACATCAGGTGAGCCCAGCCAGGTGGCACATCAGGTGAGCCCAGCCAGGTGGCACATCAGGTGAGCCCAGCCAGGTGGCACATCAGGTGAGCCCAGCCAGGTGGTTCACCAGGTGAAACTCGAGTTAGCTGTCAAGTTTGAGCTCCTCTCAGCTACTGCTCTCACACTTGTACACCCCCGCACCCACACGCTCTTCCCACGCGTCCTACCCCACCCCTTGCCGTGCAGGGACTGACGCGGCTGAAGCTGGCACGGGGCAAGCGGGTGAGCGCCATGGGGCTGCTGAGGGCGCTGTCGTACTCGCGCAGCCTGCACTCGCTGCTGCTGCCCTCTGCCGCCCTCGACGCGCCCATCTCAGACGACTTCCTCTGCACCATCGCCTACACGTGCCCGGCCCTCACGCACCTCGCCCTGGGCCCCGACCCTGACCTGGGCTTCGCCTACGGCCCGCATGGGCTCGCCACGCTCTTCAAGGGCTGCTCGCTGCTGCAGTGCCTCTCCATCGACGCCACCCCGCCCCGCCCCGCCTTCTCCGCCGCTGCTGCTGCTGGGCCCGCGGTTTCGGGGGGCAATTCGGCCAATGGCGTGCAGCTGAAGCAGCTGATGAAGATTCTTTTTGCCCCGGGCAGCTTGATGCCACCAGGGGTGGATGTGGGTGCGGGGAGGGGGGGGGAAGTGGGAGGGGCGAGTGGGGGATTAGGTGGATCTACTCTCATGCGCCATCACTACCATCACCAGCACCATCAGCACCACCATCACCAGCAGCGCCACCAGCAGCAGCAGGCGGCGCCATCCACATGCCCCACATGCGCAGCCTCTGCATCCCCCTACGCCCCTCGCAGTGGCACCAGCAGCCCTCTGCTCTTCGCTGCTGGCGGGGGTGCCATGCCCCGCGCCTACCCTGCTGACCGCACTCCCATGGGAGGCGCAGGCACACAGGGAGGGACAGCGGGCGCAGGAGGAGCAGGCGGGGGGAACAGGGCGTCACAAATGGCGGGGAGCATAATAGGCGGCACCATCACGGGCACGATAGCGGATGGGCTCATAGGCGCTGCCAGTGGAAGCACCTCCCTCGTCGGCCGCATCGCCAGCAGCGCTGCCGGCGCCCTCATCTCCGACAGCTGGCGCTCTCTCGTTGGTGGGGACACAGCGGGTGCAGGGACAGGAGCGGGGGGCGGAGGTGGGTGGTGGACGCCGCAGACGGGCATCATGCCGGGCCTCTCCCACTCCTCCACCTCCGCTGCCCCCGCTGCTCCCTCTGCCTACAGCCTGGGAGGGCTGTTCAGCAGCTTCGGCAGCGGCAATCCTAGCAGCAGGGGCGGCATGAGTGGCATGGGCGGCATGGGCGGCATGGGCGGCATGGGCGGCATGGGAGGGCTGCCAGCGGGGGTGAGCAAGAGCGTGGCGGAGCTGCTGCACGACTCCGTGCCCATCCGCCTCGCCACGCCCTCCAAAAGCAACCTCCTCCTCCACTCCTCGCCTGACCTGGGCCGGCGCGATCTCAGCCCTGCGCGGTCCAGGCCAGCGGCCGTGGCGTCAGGGTCGGGCGCGTGGCCGGTGTCTGGCAGCGTGGGGAAGAGCAGCAGCGACGGCGGGCTTTCAGGGAGACCGGGGATGGGGGGTGGGGTGTCAGGAGCGAAGGAGGGAGGAGGCATGGGAGGAGCAGGGGAGGGAGGCGAGCCACAGGGGGTGCTGAGTGTGATTGACATCCCCGAGTCGCTGGGGCTGCTGCACCACCTGCGCCAGCTGTCGCTGCACATCAACAACCCGCAGCAGCAGGTGCGCCTGCCCGACTCCATCGGCCGCCTCTCCCTGCTACAGGACCTGCACCTCGCCTTCCCCCTGCCCGCCTTCGTGCCGCCCTCGCTGTGGTCGCTGCCGGCACTGCAGCGGCTGTCCCTGAGCGGGTGGAAGGGGCTGGCGTTTCTGCCCAACTGCCTGGACGACCTTTCCAGCCTGCGCGCGCTGCACCTGCGCTGCCACGACCTGCTCGACCTCCCGCCCTCCGCTGCCCGCCTCCAACACCTCACGGAGCTGCTCTGGGAGACACCGCGGCGTGCCAAGGACCACGGGGATGCTGGTGGGGGTGCGGGTGGGGGTGGGAGCCTGTTTGGGGATCACTACGAGCACCAGCAGCAGCAGCAGCAGTCGCTGGAGAGTGCATCGGTGCCGCCATCTCTCGGGCTGTTCACGCGGCTGCAGCACCTGACGCTGCGCAATGCCACGTTCCTGCCGGACGACCTGCAGCTGCTGGCGCCCAGCCTCACGCACCTGCAGGTGTGGGGCGCGCACGGCCACCTGCGCTTCCTCCCCCACTCGCTGCTGCGCCTGCGCCGCCTGCACCACCTCGACCTGCGCGGCGCCTTCTCCCTCGTGCCACCTGGCATCGGCTGCCTCAAGGAGCTGACTCAGCTGTGCCTCGTCAGCGGGTCGCTGGAGAGCCTGCCGCCGTCCATGGCAGAGCTGGCGAGTCTGGAGGAGCTGCGGTTGGACGGGTGCTCGGGCGACCTGCAGCTGCCCGACATGCTCTTCGCGCGCCTCAAGCGCCTGCGCTCGCTCTCCCTGCCCACCAACGCCGCCTCCACCGTGCCGCGCGGCCTCACGCTGCTCACCTCGCTCGCCTCGCTCTCCATCGAGTGCTCCGCCTCCGTCCCCACTCCCCAACCAGCCGCTGCTCTCGCCGTCCCCGACCCCCTGCCCCTCACGCCTCCACCGCCCCCCACGCCCGCTGCTGCCATCTTCAGCGCCCTCGCTGCCTCCTTCTCCCCACCACCACCCTCTCGATCCCGCTCGCCCCACCGCTCCCCCTCACCCATCCCCTCTATGACCCCCCTCCCCCCGCCCTCCTCCCCTCTCACTGACTCCTGGGACCCATCGCGCCTGCCGCCCGCTCCCACCGCGCTGCCGTCCACGTCGGTGCTCCCTCTGGCGTTCGGCTCGCTGGCCAGTCTGCGCTCGCTGCGTCTGCTGTGCCCGCACCTCACGGCCCTGCCGCCCACCTTCGTCGCGCTGCCCCGTCTGGAGGACCTGCAGCTGCGCTTCTCGGGGTCGCTGCCGCGCTCCTTTGGCGCGCTCACATCGCTGCGCTCACTCGTGCTCGACAGCCCCAAGCTCTACGCACTGCCCGAGTCCATCGGCAACCTCTCCCTGCTCACCTCGCTCACGCTCGCCTGTGCGCACCTCACCCTGCTGCCCGTCTCCATCGGCCAGCTCACAGAGCTGCGCTCACTCAAGATCCTCCAGTGCCACTGCCTCGAGTCCCTCCCCTCCTCGCTCTCTGCCCTCGCCAGCCTCTCCCTCCTCCACGTCTCCTGTGATAATCTCAACTGGCTGCCCGTGTCCTTTGGCCGCCTCTCTGCGCTGGAGGAGCTATCCCTCGCAAGCAAGAACCTCACGCAACTGCCCGAGAATTTCGGGCAGCTGCAGCACTTGCGCTTGCTGCGGCTCGACTGCCCGGCCCTTCAGAACCTGCCTGCCACGTTTTGGCAGTTGCCTGGGTCGTTGCGTGTGGACATGAGTGCAGAGCTGAAGCAGCGGCTGCAGCAACAGCAGCAGGAAAGGCTGCACCAGGAGCAGCAGCGATTGGAACAGGTGTGGCTGCAGCAGCAACAGCAGCAATTCCAGTTGCAACAGCAGTTGCAGCTGCAGCAGCAGGTGTTGCAGCAGCAGTTGCTCCAGCTTCAGCAGCAGTGAATAAATGTAGTGGCACCGTAATTGTGTTTAGTAGTACGGTATTAACCCTTCATGTTGTTGTAATAAAATAGTATGCATCCTTATTTGTCGCCTTGTGCTGATCTATTACTGGTAGTATTTCCTTTTCATCGTATTCCGCCAGATACCGTAATCCCCCGTATATAAGACCCTAGGGTATTATGATAATCACCCCTAAAAAGGCTGGGGGGTATAATTAAATGGTGTATTTTTTATAAGACCCGGGTCTTTTCATTTTGACATTTATAATAATGCAGTTTGGAGCTCAAAGAAGTGATTTGTAATTGCTCCGCTTTTAGCTCCTGATGTATCACATTTTTCGAAGGGCTAACATTCGCCCCCACACATTCTGCCTCACACATTCGCCCTCGGGTCGGGTCACAGCAGGGAATTGTACTGTCAGGACAGGGATTCGCCCTGTCAGGGAAGAGATTCGCCTTGTCAGGGTAGAGATTCGCCCTGTCAGAAAGAGATTCGCCCCGTCAGGGCACAGATTCGCCATGTCACTGTCCGAAATCGCGCTATTATATGTTTCAGTTTCAGAAAGAACTGGAAACACGTTTCTGATGGATCAGATGAAAAAAAAAAAACCATTTCTGATCGATCAGATAAAATATAAACCCAATTTCTGAAGAAAAATCAGGTTTGCACAAAAAAACAACATAGAATATGACCATTTTCACTTGCGTTTTCTTAAATTCCGCACTTGTCTAGGATGTGGGGGGGGTCTTATAATGTTAGGAGCCATTTAGGGGGGTACAACTCAGATGTACTCGAATAAAGTACCCGGGTCCGTATTATAGACCCGGGGGTCTACAACTGGGGGGGGGTCCTATATACGGGGGATTACGGTATAAGCCCCCCCATCTGGATACAATTTATATTGACAAATGGGGCGATATAAGCATTTTTTATTATAGCGCGATAAAACTTAAACCCTAAAACTTACTAAATCATAAGTCCTGGCCCCCCCAACTTCTTCTGAAGAAAAAAACAATTCAAAATTGTTGTGAGAGACTGGAGGAATCCAAGCAAAACACTGTAGCTAGAAAGAGTTGCACGGGATAAGCCATTGCAGTACATTACTCGTTAGAATCACGTGCACATTTATGCAAGGGTGCGGAACCATGCAAGCAACTTAGAAAGTCCAGTATCCAGTGCCTCATTACGCTTCTCATAGCCTGTGGATGAGCACTCGGCAAAACAAAGACAGGATATGAAGGTGAAAGAAAGTGATGAGTGCCTTGCGAGGCGAGGAGCTCAAAACAACCCATGGGAGGGGCAGGAGTTTGACTGTGCCTTGGTTCCGATCCATTCCCTGGCAGCAGTCAGTCCAGTGGAGAGCACTGGTGTGGCATTCACCCAGGTTCGGCACTCCCCCCCCAGCCGTGGCGCTCACCCAGGCGTGGCACTCATCCAGGCTTGGCACGTACCAGGCCCGGCACTCACCCAGGCTCGGGACTCACCCAGGCTTCGCACTCACCCAGGCTCGGCACTCACCAAGGCTTGGCACTCACCCAGGCTCGGCACTCACCCAGGCTCGGCACTCACCCAGGCTCGGCACTCACTCAGGCTCGGCACTCACCAAGGTCAGCGGCGACGCGGTGGGCGCACATGATGCCGGAGAAGGCCACCGCGATGACTCCCTGTCCAGGGAAGCAGCTGTCACCCACACAGTACAGCCCCGGCACTTGCTGAAGCGTGGAGGGGTGGTGGTAGGAGGGAGCACAAAGACACTGATGTGTGTGTAATGCTATGACCCGCTTTCCTCTTCTCCTCCCCCACCCAGCTTCATCCTCATACTTCTCCCAACCTCAACCAACCCACAACCATGAATTGAAAACAATAGCACATTGAACAATGTGGTATGCATGTAATCGTAGAGGGGAGGCATGGGGTTGGTGCGCCAAAGGAAGGGGCCGGGCGAACCGTGGTGTTGAAGGGCATGCCGAGCAGCCCCAGCGGGCGGCGCGCGGGGATGGGGCCGTACGTGCCGTCCACCCGGTTCAAGAAACGCCGGTGCGTGCGCGGTGTGCCCACCTAACGTATGGGTTTGGAGTTGGGGACGAAACAGAGAGGGGGATGGGAATGCAGCTGGCAAGTGGAGGGGGCAAGTGATGCTGAGGAATGCATGAATGAGATTGAAAATTTGTTGGATCACGTGACCCAGTTACTCACATTTTTCAGTTTAACTAAAGTTATCCAGGTCAACTCACGTCCATGAGCTCGATGGCATTGGAGAGGCCGGGGAAGAGCGTCTTCTCGAGGCGGGCGATGATCTGCGCCGCCACTTGCTGCTTCTTGGCACTGTACTCCTCCGTGCTCATGCCCTGCCGGTGCAATGCAGCGCAGCGCACAGCGGGTGGGGGAAGTGGGCGTGATTGCATGAAAGGGGCGGTTGCTTCCTAGATGAAACGTTGAGGGGGGGAGTAATAGGTTGGGACATAGCCCACAAAAATGGATGTCGTGACACTAGAAGGCGACAAATGGTAAGTCACACACACCCCACCTGCCAGTCATGCATCCACGCGGTGGTGAAGACGTGCAGAATGTGCCGCCCAGCGGGCGCCAGCGACGGGTCCAGCACCTGAGGGGCGAGGCAGGGGGGCAAGGCAGTTGGAGGTTGGCATGGCAACAAGGCGAGCAGCATTAGGTTACCAGGTACACCTCACAAGCTTGATCAACCCGAGCCTAACCAAACGCAACAACCAAAAATGGGACTGCCGTGCAGCTGTGTGCAAAGCACGCCTTACAGTGGGAATGCTGAGGAAGATGCTTTCATACGGCTCCTCCATGCGCTCCCACTGAGTCTGCCCTCACACCACACGCAAGAAAGAGGACGACTGGATCAGCGCTGGGGGAAGCGCAGTGGAGCCAAGTGGGTATGCGGTCAGAATGGATGGCGCATATAAAGTCGTATGGCACAGTGCGTGACTGACGGAAAAGTTCTGAGAGGAAAGAGTATTAAGTGCTGGGTGCTAAAGACTGGAAAGTAGATGTTGTGTGCCAGGCGGTGGCACCAGGTGGTGGCACCAGGTGGTGGCACTCACCTCCAGCACCAGGTGGTGGCACTCACCTCCAGCACCAGGTGGTGGCACTCGGTGCCGGGCGGCAGCACATCAGCCCTGACACCGAGGTGCATGGAGAGGAAGGAGGGCGCCTGGCGGTACCGCTGCTGGAACTGCCTCTCCTCCTCCGGTATGCGCTCCAACGGTACCAGCTTGCCTGCCCGCCCCGAGAGGGGGGGGGGGGGGTGGAAGGGGAGGAGGGGGGGGGGGGGGGAGTGTGGGAATGAGGCGGGAGTGGAGTACATGAGAGGGGGGGATGAGAGATATTGCAATGATGGCTGGCGGGTGGCTGCAGCGTGTGTTATGGTTTCAGGGTGCAGGTGCCAGGCCCCTGAAAGGCATGACACAGCGGCTTAAAAGCAGCTGGCAGCAGCGAGTGGAGAGTGAAGAGGAAAGCGAAAGGATGGTGAGGGGGGTGAACAAGGGGCGGAAGAAAGGAGGAGGGTGAAGGTAGGGTGAGCGGAGGGCAAGAGGAGGATAAGAGGAGGTCGAGAGGAGAGCGAAACTTGAGAGGAGGGACAAAACAGTTTGTGTACCGAAGGTGTCCCATCGAGTAGCGTTGGAGACAACCGTCTTGGCCTTCACTGTGCGCCCGTCACTCAGTCGCACCCCCGCCTGCCATTCATGCAGCAGCACAAGCAATACAAAGCAAGCAGCCGGAAAGAAAATGTCGCAATAAATGTGGGACGGATATACATGATGGGAGGGCCATGGTGGAGACCCACTGGGGCGAGGTATGGACAAGCTAGGAGCAGCAAGGCGGGTTGCTGTAGTGTAGGTACCCGACAGAATCTGACAGAGGTGCTTCCCTTCCTGCGCTGGCAGCACTCACAGCGTGGCCGTGGTGGTCGAAGAGCAGCTGAGTGGCGTTGGCCTTGTACCACACCTCCCCCCCGCGCTCCAGCAGCCCCGCCACCAGCTCCTGTGCGATGCGCCCCACACCGCCCCGCGGGTAGTTGATGCCGCCATAGTGCCGGTCGCACAGCACCTGCCACTCACAGCCAGGGGCATGGCCGCAGGGGAGAGGGTGGGCAATTGGGGCAGTTGTGAGGGGCGAGGAGGTGGGGGCAGTGGTGAGGGACAAGGCGAGTGGGGCAGTGGTGAGGGACAAGGCGAGTGGGGGCAGTGGTGAGGGACAAGGCGAGTGGGGCAGTGGTGAGGGGCGATTGGGAGATGGAGGGCAGCATGGCGTGCAGGGGGCATCTCACCATGGCGGCGTTGATCATGGGCGTGTTGGCCGCATTCACTGTGCTCACTATGAAGCACTGCCGCCCGGCACCACGGCGTTGGTGACCACCGGGGAGAGAGGGGAACGGAGGCGAGGGAGGATGGGAGAAAACACAAGGGAAGAGATTGGGAGTGGGGAGAACAGAAAGCGGGTAAAACAGAGGAGACGGACTCGAGGGCTGTTGATGCAAAGGTTAGCAAGGTATACAGGAAGTGAAGGGAAGCGGAAGTTAAGGTGGCAGGGTGTCACACGAAACTGGATGGTGGGAGAGCGGAGGGAAAACTGGGCTTGACTGGAGCACAAGAAAAAAACAAGAGGTGGACACGTTGTGAGCGAGCAAGAGAGAGCATGTTGTGGAGAGGGGAACATGAGGGAGGTTTGAGTCAGAGGGCCGAGATGTGCAGAGGTGGTGTGTGGAGGGTCGGTTGGGAGGGTCGGTTGAAAGGGTCGGTTGGGAGGGGCGGTACCTCGGCATCAATGAAGGCGAGCAGGTCCGCATCGCTGATGTACCTGCGCGCTATGTCGCCCGCGTTCTGCGGTAGGTAGTATGCTGGGGGCGTGGGGAGTGGCGAGACGAGGCAGAGAAGTGGGCTCGTTGGGCAGTAGTGGGGTGTGGGTGGGGCGGGAGGACGGGTGGAGTGGTGCGGCAATGAACGGCCATGCAGCGCTGCAGCAGCAAAGGGCTGAGGAGTGACAGTGCAGAGCAAGCAACTGTGCTATGCTGTGAGGAG